TGGTCAGACTTGCGGGACAGTTGGTCACACATAGACCCGCTACTTCTCCTGTCTGAGCGACACCTGGCGCGTAGAGTTTGGCGACTCGGCTGAGCTTTCCCGTTGGCTAGAGCTGCTTAGGCAGGGTGTGGAAATCTTTGCTCTAGACTATCACGGTATCCTCACTGCCATGTATGCTTTGACTATTGGTACTGAGGGTGACTGTTACCTGTATGTGCTGCCCGACCCTGCTATAGAGGCTGCTACTCTAGGTGCTGGTGAGGCTGCTCTCTCTGGTACTGCACCTGCTGAGGCCTTGAACACCTTCACGCTTGACTCAGGTGCTTCCCGCTGCTTCTTTCACGACAGCACCGCAGTCACACCACTCGCAGCACTGGTTGCAGTCTCTCTGGCTGACCCCTCTGGGCGACCGATTCTTGCACGTTCCTCCACTGTTCTCCCGTGTCCGACGGTCCCGTCTGGCTCACTGTCAGGTCTTCACCTCCCCTCATTCTCTACGAACTTGGTGAGTAACGCCGTCCTTCAGGATGCTTGGGCTGATACCTTTACCCATGGAGGACAGCGTGTGGTGATCTGCACGTGTGCACGGACGGGCCGTCACCTGGCCACGTTCACCTGTCAGCCTGGGTCGAGCCTGTACACAAGCACTACTGAGCCTCCTCAGGTAGCTGCGTCTGTGTCCACGTCAGGTCAGCAAAGCAGCCCCCTTTTCGTGTCGCCTCCTGTCGCACCAGACTCTCCTCTGGCACCACCGCCTTGGTCACCCCTCCCTGCCACGCCTCCGTGGCATGCACTCCCACCTCCTTGTCTCTGGTCTTACCAGGTCCCTGCCTCCCCTCCTATCCTCACCTGCCCCTCCTTGCCTTCCCTGAGTCGAGGTTCGGCAGCGTGCCGCTCCTCACTCCTCCTCGTTTCCCCCGACGACTGCTCCTATGCAGACTCTCCACATCGACGGTCACGAACGAGCTTCTTCTTCCGCCTTGAGCCAATAGGGCCAATCTTCTGGAATTCCCAGAAGCAAGAGTTGGTTGCTCTGTTGTTAGCCAAAGCAAAATACATCGTCGTAACCGCTTCAGTTCGCAAAGGGTTCTATTTGCAAGAGCTCCTACGGGAGGCAAAAATCCCACCTTTGCCGACATTTCGCATCCACTGTGAGAACCTGAGCGCGATCAAGATCGCAAAGAACCACGTCTTCATCAATCGAGCGAAGCACATCACGCTGCGATATTTTTTTGTCAAGAACGAAATCGACCAAGGGAAAGTCGATCTGACGTACTTCCCCACTACTGACATGGCAACTAACTTCCTCACTAAACGACTGCCACGCCTGCAGTACCATCACTGCTCCAACGTTAGCAGAGTAGTTATAGGAGCCAGCATCTTCTATGCCCAAGATTGAAGGGGGGTGGTGCGAAATAAAATTAAATGAAGAACAATCGTGTACGCAACAAGAGCAAGCAAGCAGGAGTCGAAAGAAACGCTGACGAGAGAGCTTGGGGGGGGGGGGGGGGGGAAGTAGAGATGGCGCTAAAGGCGTTCGCGGCAACTCTGGAGCAATGGAGGAAGTGGCTGCTGGCGCCACTGACGGCGGACGAGGTCACACCTGAATCATCGGTGGTGTGCACTAAGCTCTCGAGAGGCTGGAGGTGTTTGTGGGAGATTTGCACATGCACGGGAAGGAGAGTCGAGCTATGCGGTCTGGATGGGAACGGGGGACGAGCGGCCTGGAAGGTCAAAATTGTGCTGGGGTGTGACAGCGTGGTGCCAGTGGCGTTCTCCAAAGCATGATCAGTAAGGGAGATCGGGGAAGCTAGGACGCGGCTGTTGGGATCGACCTTGTTCGAGGAGGACAAGGTGGCTCCGCTGAAACGACTCAGGGAGCTGAGCAAAAGCGCGGAAGCAGTAGAGGTGAAGAGGGCGAGTTGGGAAGCTCGGACGGGCAGAAAGATTGATTGGGACCGGGGGAGGCACTTTAGGGACTCCCTGGTAACCCCACTACGTGCGCGGGACGTACTGCTCCGGGCGCAGAACCTGAACCTCCAGGTGGGGGAGAGAGTTCCATTTCTGAGAGGGGGGGATGCTTGCCCGCTCTGCGGAAAGGAGATGCTAGAGCACTGTTTGTTGGAATGCTCGTGCGTCGCGCCGGTGGTGGTTGCTGTCAAAACGGCACTAGGCATGATGCAGCCGACGAGACACGTGGACCGGCTGGCAGACTTGCTATTCGGGAAGGAAGAGACGAGGTACGGTTTCCCGGAGGCAACAATGGTGGCAGTGGCAGTTCACCAGATCTGGCTGGGGAGGTGTGATGTGTCCCTACAAAAAACAAGGAAGTTTTTGGCTCGGAAGGTGCTTCGGAGGATAAACGTGGAGTTCAACAAACACGTAAGGATCTACTGTAGCAGGCCTAGTAAGCAGGCGCGGAGGGATAAGGCGAGATGGAATTGGGCAGATGACGAGGCACGTATCATGAAGCGGATATGTGACAACGGGGCAGTAGGACTGAGGTGGCATGCTGGGTTCCAGTCCATCTGGATGAATCCGAGGACCTTCACGAAACCACCATAAACTCGCAGGGAGGGCTAGTCTTTCGCCTGGCTTGAGCCCTACAGACACAGTTACGACTGTAGTGTCTTGCTTGTGCCTTTTTGTATGAGCTTTCAAAAAAAAAAGAAAAAAAAAAGGAGCAAGCAATATTGAGTATGAAATGAGGAGTGAGGAGTCGAAACGACAGAAGCGGCTATTAGGTAAAGACCGAAAGAGGCAGAAACATTTGAACTGGAATTGGCGGGAACATGTTTGAAACCGCTTCCCGCGCCGCACGGTTGAATCTCGCTGTAATAAAGGAATGCACTCCTTAGAGTACATGGCTAGCTAGGACATTTCGTATTCCTTTGTTCTTCTATATACACCAATATATGCCTTTGGTATCATCAATTCAGTCATTTATATTCACTTTGAAGTGAGGTCACTTACTTCCGTTGCAAAACCTCTCTGCGATCAACTTTGACGATCCTGTCAAAGTCCCTAGACCCCAGTGGGATTGTGACACATTCGCACGCCACTTTTGCCAAACCTCGCAGTGCTTGACGCGGCGTCCAGGACTATCACGAACCTCGCTGCCAGCAACGCAATTGTAGCTCGCATGCACCGCGTTACCGTTTGCTGTTTTCGCTATAAAATGTATGCTCACATGTTAGCTCACAATTTGTACTCTTTCAATTGCACCCGTAACAGTTTCATAAAATTTATCATGCACAGAAGTTTGATTTGTGCGCACTAGGCCCCTACATGGGTTTTGGGTGAAGGTCTCGACGTGAGATTACACCTGTCCCTCGCCAATTTCAACACCCGCGCAACGGGAGCAAGGGTTTGTCGTTTTGCCCCTTGTTGAAATTGGAGGGAACAAAGCAGTTCCCCCATGATATTTTCAGGCCTAGTCAGCCTGGACATGCGCTGCTGACTGGAATTCAGTGGCGCAAAGCATTGGGGCTGGAAATGTATGCCACGTCGACTGCACCCCCAGGGGTTTGGAATTCGCCCTATCAACACCTCACGAAATATGCGCTGGGTTACTTCACCCTCCAAAATTTCAGCTGGGCAACCTGACGCGTCAGCTCGTCAGGGTGTAAAGTACTCTGGCACACTGTGCAACTGACGCGTCATACACCCCACCTTGTCGAGCCGCATTCACCCTGAAGCCCCGCGTAAGGACGAAGGGGTTGAAATTGGCAGGGATTGAAGTAGGCAGGGATTGAATAGGTGTATTCAAACGAGCGCCGTTGAATGACCCTAAGCGTGCCCGGAGAAGGCTTGATGTACAGTATTGTAGAGTCGTTGACAATTTCTGGGAGGGTTGACGATGTCCATTTACGGGCACACCTGCAGTGTCGATGTTGACGGGAGTCGTACCACCTCTCGTTGGCCTGTACGAAAGAACGACGAGTTGACCCCCCCCCAAAAAAAGGAAAAAAACTCCGCACCACAACATGAACCAAAAGGACCCTTTCTCTCCTTACCCAAGTCACCAGCCAATCGAGGCTTTTGCACATGCCTAAAAAACATCATGCTCTCCATTGGGTGAAGAGATCGCTGACTCCCGTCAACAACTGATGGTTGACCTTTGAAGCCCATACTGTGTACAGCCTGGCACGGCGTGCACGGCTCAACGAATCGGCACGCAGAATGGGCATGTGACATAGTTTTTGGCGTTGTGCGGGACTGCGCTTTACAGCAAGCATTGTGCGACTCGCTCGCAAAATCAGAGGCAGCCCTATCAAGAAGCACCCTTTTCATTTTGCCCTGCTCAATTTGAGCGCAATCTAAAACAATCCTCAAGCGGAATCTAGTACCTAAATTATCTAGAGTCCTCATATCCCATTGTATTCCAATATTCCAACAAGAAGACTAGTCGTATTCCAGTTGAGCTTTTTGAAACAAACCCTGCTGACCGCTAGAATCTTGCTGTTATCGTGGACCCGATTCAAAGTCCACGCATCAACAGAGTCTGTTGAGCGCAACACAAGATACTACCAGTAGAGAGAGTTACAAGCGCCAGGTCGCCGTCAACTCTTCCTAGAAAATGAAGTCGCACACATTCCCAGCATGTCCCAGCACCACGAAGATCATCGTGGTGCACCCATTTTCAACGCAGCCTAGAAGGTTCGGTTAGTCTGAAATGCGGTCGAATGAGGTGGCTCACGGTATAGAGCGGTCAGGATATGAGATTGCTGGGTAGGGTTTTCAGGGATAACGAAATATTGGGGCACTCCAAAGAGCGACAGTGGCCCCGGAACTTATCCACATCGAAAAGTTGATTGAGAAAACTTTCCAGATCTAGTCTTGAAGTGGGTGCGTCTTCAGGCTGCTGCTGGTTTCCTCAGAGACTTTCATACGTGTAGTTACTCCCGAATAGTGCTCGTGTCCCCTCTCCTCTCCATTCTTCAAAGCTTCGATTCAATTGAGTGCCATTGGCGCGTTACAGTGAACTCCAGAGTTAACGTATGGACGTTATTCACCCAGCGAGAGGAGAACATTCCGGCGAGGAATCCTCCTCGCATGAGCTGAAAGATCTCACTTCGGCCAGGCGGCTGGGGGGAAAAGGTGATGCGGACGTGCAGAGCCTTTGCAACGGATCCGATTCCGATTTAGGATTTAATGTTGCTCTCAAACAAGCGTTCCTCGCGCTCTCGAATCTTCTCACGCACCTTTTGGCGGACAGGCTGCAAAAAGCAGATGGAAACCGTCAACTTGACGGCCAGCCGTCCGCCGTACATCCAGCTGCTCACAATAGCCCCAATCCCACCTCGTCTGCTCCGCTTGGAGGTCCTGGGTTCGACTCCTGCCGCCAGGCTGATAACGGGCAGTTTACTGGGCAAGGAAACCAGACTCATGGGCTGGAAACGGAGTTACTACTGACCATTGCCCGTGTGGAAAGAATCTTGAGGCCACAGGTGCCACCAGTTGCCGCTACTAGTAGTACCACTCAGAATCGAGTCCATTTTTCAGTAGATTGGCCGCAGGAGAGACGCAGACAAAATGGACGGCGCAGATCGCTGAGATGTGTTTTCAACACACCTGCCAACACTCATAGAGGAAGATCACGTCTCTCACAGGGAACTGAAAAAAAAGCACAAACTGAGGCAGCAGCAGCAGCAGCAGCAGCAGCGGAGGAACAGACTGCATTGGAGGCGCAAGACCAGAAACCCCAGCAGCAGCAGCAGCAGCAGCAGCAGCAGCAGCAGCAGCAACAATCCCAGCAACAGCAGCAGCAGCAGCAGCAGCAGCAGCAGCAGCAGCAGCAGCAGCAGCAGCAGCAGCAGCAGCAGCAGCAGCAGCAGCAGCAGCAGCAGCAGCAGCAGCAGCAGCAGCAGCAACAGCAACAGCAGCAGCAGCAGCAACAATCCCAGCAGCAGCAGCAGCAGCAACAGCAACAACAATCAAAGCAGCAGCAGCAGCAGCAGCAACAGCAACAACAATCCCAGCAACAGCAGCAGCAGCAGCAACAGCAACAGCAACAGCAACAGCAACAGCAACAGCAACAGCAACAGCAACAGCAACAGCAGCAGCAGCAGCAGCAGCAGAAGCAGCAGCAGCAGCAGCAGCAGCAGCAGCAGCAGCAGCAGCAGCAGCAGCAGCAGCAGCAGCAGCAGCAGCAGCAGCAGCAGCAGCAGCAGCAGCAGCAGCAGCAGCAGCAGCAGCAGCAGCAGCAGCAGCAGCAGCAGCGACAGCAATCCCAGCATCAGCAGCAATGTAACCAGCAGAAACGCAAATCCTCACCTCTCTCTACTTCTTGCCCCAAATATCGCGGAGTGCGGCAGAGAAAGGCAGGCCACTGGGTGGCAGAAATAGAGGACACAGCTAACAATGTGCGCAAGTGGCTCGGAACATTTTCCACTCCTGAAGCTGCTGCCCGTGCATTCGATCAAGCTGCCCGGGAGCTCCGCGGGCCCCGCGCAAAGACGAATTTTCCGCTGCCCGAGGAGCAGGCGGGCAGTGGTGGAGAGAGGGATTATGACAGGGAGAGGGCCTTAAGGAGAAGACCCTCAAAAGGAGCTGTGGATGTACGTGGGGTTTTTTATTCTGCTGTTGGTAATAAGAATGATGAAAATGTGGGTGGGATGTGCCATGGTGGTGAGGGTGGGGAAGGATCCTCATGCCCTAAAAATAATGCACCCGTATGGGAAGGGTCTTGCAATGTCAGCATGAATGGATCAGAATCGAAAGGGGAGCTGGTTTCTGCGAGGAGTGTGGATGGGAAGGAGCAGGAGAAGCGGGATCAAGAGCACGACAAAGAAGAAGCTGAGGAGAAGAGTGCGGAGGGGAGTGGGGAGGACAATGATGGAGGGGAGGATGGAAGGGAGGATGAGGATTATTATTCTCGTGGATGTTTCATGAATTTGATTTCAGGCGAAAGTGCGTGTGCAAATGTGGGGAACACATACATGACGGCTCTCAACTCAAGAGAGAGTGCATGTGCGGCTGCAGGGTATTCCAACAGAGCGGCATGGGCACGTGCATTTGCAGAACCACCTTACCCTTCTCCTGCCACCTATAAGATCACGGCTCTTGGCTCGCAGCTTGCAGCCCTTGAATGTGGCTCGCAGCTTGTAGCTCCGGAGATTGCACGTGGAAGGCGTTTGCTGCAAGAGCAGGGATTGGTGATGGGGAGAGCAGGAGATCTGGCGGTGTTGACTGGGGATGCCCTTAATGCTCCAGAAATTGCAGATGGAGAGCCGTTGCTGCATGGGAATTCTCTGAAAGAGACACGGTTCGTGGGTGGAGCAAGCAATATGGCAGTGCTGATTGGGAATACCCCCAATTGTTCGGTGATGGCAGATGGTGAGCGTTTGCTTCTCGGGGATGATCTGGAAGAGGGACCGGAAGCAGGAGGAGCAAGCAATATGGCAGTGGTGATTGGGGATGCTCTGGGAATCACAGAGGCGGAGCGTTTGGTGCTCGGGAATGCCCTGGAAGAGACACGGGCCGTGGGAGGAGCAAGAAATCTGGCAGCGCTGATTGGAGGAGAAGAAGCAGTGGTCGCAGGAGGAGAAGATGATCGGGCAGAGCTGATCAAAGGCGAGCATGAGCTGCGACCAGATGGCTTTGGGTGTGCTGGGGACAGGAAGCTGGCAGGGCAGACTGGAGAGACATGGGAGGAAGGGGAGCGTGGGGAGAAGTCCAGGAAGGAAGGAGAGGAAGGGATGCAAGGGGATGCAGAGGAGTGGGATGTGGTGCTGAGTCACATGCAGGAGGTTGCTGCTACTGCTTCTTCTGAGTCAGGCAATGATGGGATGGACACTTGGATACTGGAGGACATAATGCCGCTTGATGGATGACTGCAGGTTATGACTGTGGAGGGTGTGACTGTGGAAGGTGTGAATATGAAGGGTGTGGCTCCAAAGGGTGTGACTTTAACAGCTGTGACAGCAGAGGGTGCACTTGCAGAGGGTCTGAGAGCAGGTGCTGCAGAGGATGATGATGTTCAGACGCGAAAAGCATTTTCTAGCAGCATTGATCCGGGATGCCCTTAATGCTCCAGAAATTGCTGTGGAGAGCCTCTCCTGCCAATGGATTCTCAGGAAGGGTCATGGATTGCGGCAGGAGCAAGCAAACCGCCAGTGCTGATTGGGGATGCTCGGGAAATCACAGAGGGAGAGCCTTGGGTGTTCCGGAATGCTCTGGAAGAGACATGGGTCGCAGCAAGAGCAAGCGATCTAGCAGCGCTGATTGGGAATGCCCCTGCTGCTCCAGAGGTCACACATGGGCCCTTTTTTCTTCGGAATGCCCTGGAAGAGACGCGGGTCACGGCAGGAGCAAGCAACCTGGCAGTGCTGATTGGGGATGCTCTTGAAGAGGAACTGGTTGCAGGAGGAGAGGATGATCGGGCAGAGCTGATCGGGAACGAGCTTGAGTTCCCAAATGGCTTTTTAAATGGATTCCAGAATGTTCGGCCTGAGAAGATGCTGCCATGTTCAGATGGCATTGGGTGTGCCGGGGACAGGAAGCTGGCAGGGCGGCCAGGAGGGAAGAGGAGCGTGAGGAGAAGTTCAGGAAGGAAGGATCGGAAGGGGTGCAAGGGGATGGAGAGAAGTGGGATGCAGTGACGAGTCACATCGAGGAGTTTTCTGCTGCTCCATCTGCAGAGTCAGGCAATGCTGGGCTGGATGCTTGGATGCTGGAGGACCTAGTGTCGCTTGACGGGTTGACTCTAGAGGGTGTGACTGTAGAGGGTGTGACTGTGGAGGGTATGACTGTGGAGGGTATGACTGTGGAGGGTGTAACTGTGGAGGGCGTGGAGGGCATGACCTTGGAGAGAATGACTGTGGAGGGAGTGACTGTGGAGGGTGTGGCTGCGGAGGGTGTGACTGCGGAGGGTGTGACTGTGGAGGTTATAATTGTGGAGGGTGTGACTGTGGAGGGTGTGGCTTCAAAGGGGGTCACTGTAGAAAGTGTGCCAGCAGCAGGTGCTGCACTGGATGATGCAGCTTAGGAGCACAGTAGCTCTGGCTGCTTGGTTTAGCTTTTTTACTCTGGAAAACGAGGTTCTGTGTGGCAGCTGTGATGAGTGCTGCGAGGTGCCATATTTTCGTGCTTTTTGTATCGTTGGCAAAGGTATGAGGGAAGGCTAATCGTTAACACCCAAAGAGTCCGATACACTATCCCAAGGCACAGGTATCTTTCCAACACAATACAAAGGTATTGGCGTGTTGTTTTTCCAGTGTCTTGACCACACACAACAAAAGGGAAGGTCCAAATTCATACAAAATTTATGGAAAATGTAGGTACCCACTTTTTACAGGCTTTTCCATAGCAACCTTATACTACTAGTGTAGGGAAAAAAATATCTGAACACTCCAAACAAGTTTTGTGCACCCGCAAACAATAAGGCCACTCATGCTACCATATTCTCCCTTGATAGAGGCTCGTAAGGGCCAATAGTGTGTGTGTGTGTGTGTGTGTGTATATGTGTGTCTGTGTGTCTGTGTGTGTGTATGTGTCAAATATAATAGTTATAGGCTGTAGTGAGTTGCATTCTAGAGGGTACAGATGCTAGGGTTTCCTATTTGTATCCAACACTTTGCTAGTTCATCCATTCCGTCACCCGCCTCCCTGACCGCCTTGCCACTGCTCGCGACGCGCTTCTCCAAAAGCACCCCACTGAGCTCACTATCGATCTCCTTGAGACCGCTCTCAGGACGATCGAGAGTAGCCACCTCACCGTTGCCTCCGCCACTGACGCGGTGCCCCCCCGTCTCTTTGCGGGGTGTGCCGCCCCTCAGCTTCCCACTTTCACTGCTACCCGCGCTTCTACTGCTGTGTCGGTTTCTATCGCAGACTGGCAGAAACGGGGCAAGTGTGGCAAGAAGGGCGGGAAGGGGGGCAGTGGAGGCGGTGGAGGCGGCGGTGGAGGTGGCGGTGGAGGTGGGAGCGGCGGTGGTGGAGGCGGTGGCGGCGGCGGCGGCGGAGGTGCACCAGGTGGAGGGGGCCTTGGAGTAGGTGCAGGACAGACAGGCCCGCCCTCTGGCGGTGGCCCAACCGGTGGGGGTGTTGGACCCCAGCAGCAACAATCGCAGCAGCACCAGCCACAGCAGGGACAGCAGCAGCAGCAGGGACCGCAACAGCAGCAGGCACCGCAGCAGTTCCAGCAGTGGGGGCCCCCACTGCAGTGGGGTCCGCAGCAGCACTGGGGTCCCCCGCCGCAGTGGGGTCCGGGAGGACCAGGGAGCACCGGCTGCAGTGGCGGCACTTCCAGCCGGGCCCCTCGCCCCCCTCGCCGTGACACTGGCCCCTGCACCCACTGGTGCCTCATCGGACCTGGCAGCCCCTGTCTCTGCGGTTGTGACGACCACTCTGCCGCGCGGTGCTTCCGCCGCCTCGACAACCTCTACCGTGCCCGTTGGGGCCCTACGACGACCACGCCTCACTGGGCTCGCCTGTTAGCCCGTAAGATTGATGTGTTTGATCTGTCCATGGACGATGCTCGTCAGCATGCTTTGTATGCTGATGTTGACTATAGTGCTGATGGATCTGCGTGCTCACGTGTTCGTAGATTAGCTTGCTTGCCTCCTGCTAGTGTAGACTTGTGCCTTTCTAGTCTAGGTGCTTGTGTTGCTGCTCTAGGTGCTTGTGTAGCCACTAGGACAGGTGACCCTCCGGCTGAGGCGTCCTTATCCTTCACGCTGGACTCTGGTGCGTCTCAGTGCTTCTTCCGCGACCACACGACCCTCACGCCTCTCCTCACTCCTGTTTCGGTGGCTCTGGCTGATCCTACCCCAGGACCAGCCATTGCGCGTAGCTCCACTACCCTCCCGTGTCCTGTGGTCCCCTCTGGTGTCCTGCGCGGCCTCCACATCCCCTCGTTCACTCGGAACTTGGTGGGTGTTGGTTACCTCCAGGACAGGGGGATCACGGTTACCTTTGTGGGGGGTGGGAGGACTGCGGTCTGTACAGACACTGCCACAGGTGCTAGTCTGGCCACGTTCACCAGGGAGCCCTGCTCCGGTCTCAACGTTCTCCACACCGAGCGCTCCCCGGTTGCGTCCTCCGCTCAGGTCGTTGCGTCCCCTCCAGTCCAGGTGTCCAGTCCGGTTGCTGTGTCTAGCCAGGTGGTCGTGTCTTGTCCAGTTGCACCGTCTAGTCAGGCCGCGCTGTCTAGCCCAGACACTGCGTCCTGCTCCTGTCGGTCCCTCACCCACCGGACCGTCTTGTGGCACCACCGCCTTGGCCACCCGTCGCTCCCCCGCCTCCGCGGGATGACCACTCACAGGCTTGTCACCAGTCTCCCACGCACCTTTCCGTCGCTCCCCACCTTCCCTGCTCCCCCTTGCACTCCTTGCGTCGCCGGTCGCTTACGCGCCACTCCTCACTCCTCCTCCCTTCGTCCGGCCACTGTTCCCTTTGAGACCCTCTACTTGGACGTCTGGGGCCCTGCCCTGACGAGGGTTCTGGAAGGGAGCGTTACTTTCTAGTGGTCGTCGACAACTTCTCCATGTACACCACAGTGTTCCCTCTCGCGAAGAAGTCCGAGGTGACTCCAATGCTGATCCGGTGGCTTCTGGCCACTGAGGGCACTCGTGGTCGTCGTGTCAGTTGTCTACACTCTGACCGTGGGGGCGAGTTTCGCTCCAGCGTTCTTGCCGGTTTCTGCGGTGAACGGGGCATCGTACAGTCATGGACGGTTTCCGAGTTCCCGCAGCAGAATGGGGTTGCTGAGCGCCGCATTGGCTTGGTCATAGACATTGCTCGCACGTCCATGATCCATGCCCGTGCGCCCCATTTTCTGTGGCCCTATGCGGTTCGCTACGCCGTGTTGGTGCAACCCTACGGTTTGCACTCGGCTTGTTGTCCGTGTGCGTGAATGTGTGTGTGTATGGAATGGTATGAGGGCATGGGATAATATATATTTCATGCTTATAATTGTGTGTGAATGTTGAGTCATGATGTCGAGTGTGTGTGTCGAGTCAATAGCGAGTTATCGCTAGACGCGTGTTACGCGGTCGTTTGTGTCTCGCGCGCGGTTTCTATTTTGTCGTGCGCGGTTTCTATTTTGTCATGTGTCGAACGTTCGGCGTGTCGCAGGTGTGTGCAGCAGACCCATCAAGAACTCAAGGATGAGTTTGTGATGAAGAGCCCGAGCCTTGGTGTCAAGCCTCAAGTGATTTCGAAGCTCGCCAAAAAAGGGTACACCTCAAGATATTGAAGATATTTACATTACTTTGTGTAGTGTAACATTTCACTTGGTGTAGGCCCTAGTGAAGGGTAGTTTCGAGACCCTTCGTGGTTGGGGACAGTGTGGCACTGTTCCACATCACTGTACCTCGGCTCTTGGGGTTTGTAGGAGCTGGGAGTCATTCCCAACTCGTAACTCTTCCTATCTTGTGTTCTAAGACTATAGTGGCTGCCATAGTACCGTTCGTTCAAACCGACGCTGTGTCGTCAATGCTTTATCAAATCGTGCAATCTAAATTGCTAATTGTAGACGACGTGAAGACGCTCCAGATCCAATTTGAATCATGTTATAGTCACAATAGGCTTGAATGTGCCTAAAACGAAAGATAGACAGCACAGACGGATTTCTGCACAGCGGCTTCAAACGTTGATAGCGTTCTGCTCACAGCTGCAAATGACTTGATTCAAATTGGATCTGGAGCGTCTTCACGTCGTCTACAATTATCAATTTAGATTGCACGATTTGATGAAGAATTGACGACACAGCGTCGGTTTGAACGAACAGTACTATGGCAGCCACTATAGTCTTAGAACACAAGATAGGAAGAGTTACGAGTTGGGAATGACTCCCAGCTCCTACAAACCCCAAGAGCCGAGGTACAGTGATGTGGAACAGTGCCACACTGTCCCCAACCACGAAGGGTCTCGAAACTACCCTTCACTAGGGCCTACACCAAGTGAAATGTTACACTACACAAAGTAATGTAACTATCTTCAATATCTTGAGGTGTACCCTTTTGGCAAGCTTCGAAATCACTTGAGGCTTGACACCAAGGCTCGGGCTCTTCATCACAAACTCATCCTTGAGTTCTTGATGGGTCTGCTGCACACACCTGCGACACGCCGAACGTTCGACACAGGACAAAATAGAAACCGCGCACGACAAAATAGAAACCGCGCGCGAGACACAAACGACCGCGTAACACGCGTCTAGCGATAACTCGCTATTGACTCGACACACACACTCGACATCATGACTCAACATTCACACACAAAGCATGAAATATATATTATCCCATGCCCTCATACCATTCCATACACACACACATTCACGCACACGGACAACAAGCCGAGTGCAAACCGTAGGGTTGCACCAACAAACTCCCCCTCGGATTGTTGGCCTTAGGATATGTTGCTCTCTCAGTTCAGAGCCATCCCAGCCAGCTTGCAACACTTCCAATGCTGCTGCTCCACCAGCCTCTTGGTCATCATGTCAGCCGGCTGCCCCGTGGTCTTCACGTAGCGCAACTCAACTTCACCCGCGGTTACCATGCTCCTCGTCCAATGCCACTTCACCCTCATGTGCTTCGTGAGTCCATGCAACACAGGGTTCTTAGCAAGAGCAATGGCACCCTGGCTGTCACAGTACAGTGGGGTAGGTCCTTGCTGCTCCTCCCCCAATTCAGCCAACAAACGCCGCTGCCACACAATCTCCCGTACGGCACGGAAGAGTGCCATGTACTCGGACTCCACCGAGCTCAAAGCTTGGTCAACCTGCTTCTTGCTCTCCCAAGCAGTTGGGCCTCCACCAACACAGCATATGAAGCCTCCCACACTTGTCATGTCCTCTGGTTCTGATGCATATGAAGCATCCGAGTAGGCGGTGAGGAACAAACGCCCGGGTTCAACACCATCCGCGCCCTTTTGGCGCCTTTGTGCCGCCGCCGAGTATTGCAGCCCAACGGTCGGTGTTTGGCCAAGATACTTGGCCACCCTCATTCCAGCTGCTACCTGCTCCTCATTAGGGCATTGCACAACCCT